GGAGTATTTCAGGAGGAATAGACATGGTCCTCACTGCCCTCAGCAGTGGGAGAAGAGACGTTAAAGACCAAGGGCAGAGAGCGTGGTCCTGCCAAAGCCAGCCCGCTCCCGCCGTCCCCTCACTCGTTTCTGAATTATTCCTGGACTCTGCTCTTTCCTTTTGGGATCACTGTCTCTTTACAGTCACCAGTGAACACCCCACCTCATGATCCTGCATCCTGAGTACTGAACTGACAGCCGACCTGTTTCTGGTCTCCCCGTGTATTATTTCTGCTCAAACACCCAGTTTGAGGACATACTTCCTGCCCAGTTTCTCGGGGTTTAAGGACTATGGGATGGCCCATCATTACTCACCTTACGACAACCTTGGAAAATGAGGCTTCAGTGAAAACACATCTTGACCAGCAGTGCAGGCCTGTGTAGCTCGAAGAAGTTCAGCACCTGCACCTTACAGGTGAGCACTCCGAGGTTGCTCAGGCAGTCAGCTGGTCAGTGAAGAACCAGGACAGGTGCAGGGTAGGGGGTTTCTGATCCAGGTCCTGTGTCTTTCCATGACCAAAACCTGTTAATTTATTGACACTTGAGAAAGTCTGTGTTTTCTCTCAGATGTAGAGCTGGTGGCCTTATGTTCTTTGAGTGCTCAGAGCATCATGCATTTGTCTTGTGATACACAGACTTGACTTATTCTTTGAAGGATTCAGGTTGGCTGAGAGGTGAGAGGTGCCAACTCTGATTGAAGATGCCTTTGGAGGAATCAAAGGTACCACACAGACAATGTTCTCTCTGTCATGTGCACAGCGGAGTTACCCAAACCCAACATCACAAGCAACAACTCTAACCCTGTGGAGCACAAGGATGCTGTAGTGTTCACGTGTGAACCTGAGATTCAGGACACCACCTACCTGTGGTTGTTCAACAGTCGGAGCATCCAGAACAGTTCCAAGCTGGAGCAGTCCAAGGACAACAGGACCCTCACGATATTCTATGTCACAAGGAATTACATAGGACCCTACGAGTGTGAACTGCAGAACCCAGCGACTGCCAACCGCAGTGACCCACTCTACCTGAATGTTCTCTGTGAGTAACTTCTGCCCTCCCTGGCCCACGCTGCCCACCCAAATCCACACTGCCAGAGGCCAGGCTACATCCGTCCGTCTCAGGTCGAAGTACACACACCCTCACCCCTGGACACCCATACTAGCCATCATTTCCTCTCCCAGGCAAATACGGGCAGCCCCAGCCTTGAGCTGAGATGAGGAGGGCACGGGTTGCTCCTGTCCTGAGAGGCTTAGGATCAATAACCTCTCCTGGAAGAAACTGGTTAATGTCCCAGAATCAGGATCAGTGAACACAGGGAGTTATGGTTGGGACTTTTTAAAACAAGATTGTGACCCAGCTCAGAAGGACAGTGTGGCCCTTATACAGACAAGGAGTGTCCCCTTTGCTCTGATGACATCACATGTGGCTTTGTTCTGTTTGCTCCAGATGGCCCGGATTCCCCCACCATCTCTCCCTCAGACACCCATTACCGTCCCGGGGCCAACCTCAGCCTCTCCTGCCACGCAGACTCTAACCCACCCGCACAGTATTCTTGGCTTATCAATGGGAGTCTCAAACAATCTTCACAGGATCTCTTCATCACCAACATCACAGCGAATGATAGTGGAACCTATACCTGCCTCGTCCATAACTCTGTCACTGGCCTCAACAGTACCTTGGTCAGGACTATCACAG